AATGAGTATTTGTCAATATGCGAAAAAGCTGTGTGGTCACCCAAAACTTCATTAATTAAAAATAAATTAAAATTTTTGTTGTTTCAATTCCGTAATGTTTGAAACCTATAGAATATGGTAAAAGTCCAGAAGATGCTTCAATATTTTATGCTACACAGGTTGTGCTCAACCCTCTAACATTAATATGTAGTATACGGACTAAAATACCCCCTCTTTGCTGAGACTTAATCTCCCGAGGGACCGTTGTCACATTATATCGAGGAGGATCTGTTTTATGTTTGTATTTTAAATCATGCTTTTGTGATTTTCGATCTGCGTTCAGACCTTCACTTTTTTACCGCATTTTTTTGGTGTCTGCACTATTAATTAGCTTATTCTCTTATACTTCTTTTTAGGTATGATTTCTTCGGTTTGAGGATTTGAATCACATAAAACTCTATCGTTCGCTAGTTGACTCTGGGTTCACTCTCATCTTTTTGACTTTATTTTCGAGACTTATTGGTCTAATCTAGGCTATTTACACCTATTACAGTTAGAGAATGTGTGCTCTTCGTTGTCACAGTCTCCGTCGCCATAAATGCATTTGAGTAGATCCATCTTTTCCATGCGGTACAGGTACTTGCAAAAATATTTAAGTACGGTCAGCATCTGAAAGAGATAGTAATTTGTGGCTTTCGATTTCCGTTTGAGCCAGGTGATTATATTTGGTTTCAGTCTAGCTGTCCCGCTTCCTTGAGTGCTATTGTTCCATCTCTGTTGTGATATTTCGATTGTTTGCTCCTGATTTTCTCTTGTTATTTGTTGCGTATATAAGCCGATCAATTTCTTATTGTATACTCTTTGGCGCTCCTTTGCATAAATATCAATTAGAGCTACACCTATTAATACAAAAACTGTTTCTGCCGAGAGAGTACGATACTTTGATTCGTAGAGCCACCCGCTATGCACCGTTATTATTTCTTTTATGAGGGTTTCGATGTCTAGTGTGTCTGCCCATACTTTGATACCATAAAGAAGTATGGCGTTTACTGCCGTATTAACCATTAGTTTGTTTAAGGCAGTGGTCGCCTAGGCTGCTTTCTCTACTGCTTTATTTGTGCCCAAAACGTAAGTTCCCATTGAATTTTATTTCAAGATAATTATTTGTTTTTTGAGTCTTTCGAAAATTATTATTTATTTGCATCTCAATTTCCGATGCGACACAGTTGGACATTATAATATTTATGTGTTCTTTAATGACAACTAATGTAAGACCTTTGTTTTGCACCCATTTGTTATTTTCAGTTAGTGAAATGACATTAGTTTCCTTAATTTAAGTAAATTAATTTTATTGACGCACATATCTTTTCACGTATAAATGGAATAACAATAGCCCAGTTTCTGCTTATTCGATTTCCATTTTCATTATGTCCTGGCACAAGAGGACAGACAGATCGACGCTCGAAGCCTTTATTGCAATCTGCTGATTGCAGAAAAAAAATCTTTCCGGAAACAATAAAATAATTGGAACATAAACATAATTTTATTATTTTGCACATTACAAGATGTTCTGTGTTCCAACGTAAACACTTTCGCACAGTTGCTTATGGGAGCATTGCATCCATGGTGTTGTAGTCTTAAATGTTCTGCTTTCCAAAGAGTTGTCTTAAATTTATTGAAATTGTTAACCCCGTTCGCCGCTGTCTATGCATGTCTATGTCATTTTATAATATTTTCTGTATAAATATAATTTAATTTTGTTTTACTACCTTTCTGAGCTATAAAATGTTTTTCTTCTTTGTTTCTGTTGTTTTATTGCTGCAGAGTACGACATTTAATTCCAACTAAAAATAATTTTACATGCCTGAACGGAAAGGTATCTATGCTTGGGGGTAAAAGTTGACATAGGGTTAACCAATTCCTTGAATAAATTTTTATTTCCTCTATATGTGTTGGAATAAATTTTTTTGAAAAGTTAATTAATTTTGGGTTTTGTTTTTTAAAACATTTAAAGCATTTGCGTCAGGTGAGGAAGGTTGATACCTACTATATATAACCGTTCACATCTATACACATATCTATACACATCTATACAATAGAGTTTAAATGAAATGTAAAAAATCTATTAAATTAATTTAATTAAAAGCATTGAACAAAAAAGCATTCTCAAGATTTGTTTCAATTATTTTACTATTTTAATCACTCCAATTAAATGTCTCCTCAAATTAATTTCTGAAAATGCATTCATTAGCATTGGTAATGAATTAAAAACTTTTCAGTTAGTTCACATACTCATTAGAATAAAGTGTCAGATAAAGAGAACTGTTTTTATATTTAATGAAAGAAAATTTTCAACAAATTATTCTGAGATCTGTTTGTTGTGGTAGTTGTAATTAGCTTCCGTATTAATTATAACCCGAAGTTATGTTCTTAAATAAATTTTAGATGAGTTTACCAGTTGCAATTTAAAAAATATGTTTTCTCGACTATGAATATTGATGTTTTCTCAACAATTCTGTACTAACTTCGACTAGAAGCAAACGGATACATATATACTAATTGAAGATTTTGGATTAATGTATCATTTGAATTGAAGAACTATAATTGGGTAGTTAGGCGATATCAATGTATTAGTGGTTTCATAATTAGTTAGAAAGCGTTTTTAATTCCAAACTCCTCATAATTTTTGGAAGAAAATTGTGTGGTTAATAACCAGATAAAGGTATTTAGTAGTGCTGTTCGTATTCGGTTTCACGAAGTATTTGGAGAATCCGATTAATCACATAGGAAACGAAGTAACCGGAATGAATGTGCGTCATACACCTTCCGAATAATATGAACAGCACTAGTATTTAGTATTTACCTGAATTCAATACTAGAGTTGTCGTAGAGTGAGTTAAAGAAGTACGCTAAAACAATTGAACAAGCATATAGATAAACCTGGATAGTTATATCTGGAATTAGTGTCTCTTCCGAGAATCATAATACGTAACAGTTGTGATGGGTTGTTACTATGCACCAAGTGTGAATTTCTAACTTTGGGTACATCGGTTATTATACCTTTACATCATAGCATGCCTGGCGTGGTAAGATACTTGTTATCCTATCTCAGAAATAGGATAACATAATTGCATTCCAACAAAATAAATTGTGATTCAGTTTTGTAGTTTTTAAACTGAATGTGGTTTGATTCATATTTGTAATTAGAAGTAAAGGTGCTAATAAGTTAGGTTCTAATGCAGAGGGATCGAGTCTCGCTAGTTCATTAATGTGCTCCCCTGTGTAAACATGAATAACAACCGAATAGAATAGAATATGAATAGAACATGATAATTTGTAAGAAAATAGATCTTCTACTTACTACGGTCTACGTCATCAATTTTAAAATTTTTTCCATATTATGATAAAATTCTGTATATAATTTGAATACTTAAAGAAAATATTAGGATAAGCCACTATTCTTTAGCTTAATATTAATATGGTATATTGGTATGTTTTTATATCCGATGTTTCTTAAGAGCATGTGGGTGGTGTTTTGAGCTTATCGATGCATGTAATGGCCGACAGATAAGCATTATGGCCGACAGAAGTATTATTTACTTTTAAACGCAGCTTATAAAATGCTAATGAATGAGATCTTATGTATTTAAAAAAAAAATAAAAATTATTTAAAAAAAACTTAATAATTTTTAAACTCAGTCCAATTTAAAAGTTTCTTTTAATATTTTTATTGCTAACATCCACAATTGAAACCCTAAGTGTGGCATGGAGCTAATGCTTATGTGCTTCAATGTGGGTCATCAAGTGTGACTTGTAAATGAAAAATCAAAAGTGTTGGAGGAAGTTGAGTGAAAAACACGATTGAGTGGTTTTATGTGCTTAGGTTTGTTAATAGATTGGGTGCCCATTCAGCTCCAATTCATACCAATTCCATATACATTCACTACCTGTAAAGGATGTGCAATACCAACTGACAACACAACTGTGCTTAATTGCATGAAGTACTCTTGCTTTTTCTTGTTGGATTTTTAATACCTTTTTCACGGTACTGTACTGGAAAGAATTAAATTTTGCAAGAGAATTCATAAAAAATGTATATATATGTAAACTTTATAGTGTATCCTTTAATTACATAAAGTTTTTTATTATATATTTAATATTGCAATTAGTACGTTAAAATTGGTTTCTTTATATAATTTTTGTTTATATATGACAGGAGATTTTCAGCTAAACTAACTCATTTACGTTTAATAGCCCTTCCCTATATCAATCACATGGGCTAAGGTAATTAGGATATTGCATGCAAAGGTATTTTGAACTCAATTATTTAACACAATAAGCAATAATGCTTAGTGCAGTTCGACCTGGTGTATGTGTATCCTAAATCTCCTTAGCAATAAATTATGTGGTAAATGCCATTATTGGTTTCATAATTTAATTGACCTAAATATGTTATAAGCAGTAACGATATGTAGTCGTATGTATCAACACAAAAACAAAAAATGAATAAAAACTGAAAATTTACTTTAATCCGGTAAGTTTTGCTTATAATTAGCTTTAGGCTTCACATTATAAACTTTGGAATTTAATTATCCACCACTGCTTTGCGGTACTTTGGCATGTGAGTGATATTTAGTTAAGGGATCCAGGAATGGGCGCTATTAAAATGTCAAATAATTTTCAGTGAGTTATTTTTATGAGAATATGGATACATGTGCCTGAAATTTTTGAAATATTTTTTAATTAC